GTTACTCCGAGTATTTTGGGGTTATTCACCGTCGGAATTGGTGTGTCATCGACGTGAATCCCCAGCGGTAGCCTGACCTCCTTCGTCCAGGTTGTGAACAGGGTCGCGGAGGATTTCGTAGGGGAGAGGGCTAGACACTTTGCAGTGAAGAAGCGAGAAAGTTCGGAGAGATAGCCGTTTACTTTCGAACACAGGTCATCAATTCCATTCCCAGTCGCCATAATCGAGCAATCGTCGGCATAGGAGACAATCGAGACTCCCTCTGGTGGTTGAGGGAGCTTTGAAATATAAAAGTTAAACAGTAGCGGGGAAAGGACACCACCCTGAGGAACCCCCTGTTTTATTTTTCGCTGCTTACTCGTTTTGTCTCTGAACATTACCGACGAATGTCGACCACTTAGATAATTTGCCGACCACCGTTTGAGCCTCTGTGGGAGAGAGGAGGCCTCTATATCTTCTAGTAGCGTGGAATGGCAGACGGTGTCAAACGCCTTTGACAAGTCCAACGCTACTAGAATCGTTCTCTCACAGGGACGGTTACGGTTAAGGCCACGAGTTATCTGAGTGTTTATGGCGTTAAGTGCTGTTGTTGTGCTGTGCACTTTACGGAAATCATGCTGATGCTTCGCTGGGGTCAGGTGATTTGTGAAGTACGGGAGTAGCAAGGCCTCGAGTGTCTTCGCTACCGGGGAAAGGAGTGTAATCGGACGATACGAATCTCCTTTGTTTGCAGGTTTCCCCGGTTTGAGCAGTGGGACCACTCTCCCCACCTTCCAGATGTCTGGGATGATGAGAGTGGCCATTGACAAATTGAGGACCTCCGTTAGGTACGCTACCCCCGCAGGACCCAAATTTTTCAGCATCAGCATGCATATACCGTCGGGACCCATGGCTTTGGAGGCTTTCGCCTTCCCGATGGCCACCTGAACTTCACCGCAAGTGAAAGCAAGGGGGGCACAATTTGTTGGCAGTTTGTGCAGCCTTCTGGTCACTCGACGCTTGGCTTTGTCCACCGGAGGATGCAGTATGAACTGCCGGCTAAAATAGCTCGCGCATCGCTCCGGGTCCGACGAAGCATAGTCGCCGAAGGAAATTTCGACTCTGTCGTCGTGCTTCGTCGGATTAGACAATGACCTCACGGTTGACCAAAGCTTGCTCACACCAGAGGTGAAGTTGCAAGTCTTCAGATGCTCCTCCCACTTCTTCCGCTTATGTACGTTTACAAGTTGCCGAATCTCCGCGTTGAGATCCCTGATACGGGGATCTCCGGGATCGGCCTGACGAAGGCTATCACGCTCGTTTGCTAAAACAGCCGCTTCGGCAGGGAAGTTTGGACGTGGGTCCGATATGCACCCTGCCGGTATGAAGCGGGCTGCAGCAGCAGTGATAGCCCTGCGGAACTTACGTTCACCGAGGTGGACGTCGGTTGGTGTGGGGAGCGATGTGAAGGTGTTTTCAGTAAACTCCGCGTAACCTTTCCAGTCAGCTTTAGAAAAGTTGACATAGGTCCGGTGTTTGGCGGAGGCAAAGTCGGTTGGTTTATCAATCGAGATGACTATGGGTAGATGGTCTGATGCTAGAGTCAGCATAGGTCGCCACGTTATGCTGTTTATCAGACCAGCGCTGACTATTGTGATGTCTGGCGAGCTACTGCAGTTACCCATAATCCTGGTGGGTGCGTCGTCGTTCATTGTGCAGAATGTCGAATCGTCTATCTGCTCAGCCAAGTCTGTTCCCCTACGATCGTTTGACAGGCTTGAGTGCCAAAGATCGTGGTGCGCATTAAAGTCACCTACTACCATACGGTTTTCACCTCTGAGGAGCGCACCTATATCAGGGTGATATCCTGCCGGGCAGCAGGTGACAGGGGGTATGTATATATTAAATATTTCGAGCTCGACATCGCCTGACCGGATAGCGATGCCCTGACATTCTAGGGTGGTATCCCTGCGGTCGATGTCTGCTTCGATAAGACGATACTGCACGGTGTGGTGCGTTATGAACGCTAAGCCACCACCATTATCTCGCTCGCGATCTCGACGGTGCACGTTGTACCCGGCACAATTCAACAAAGTTGAATTGCTGTGCAACTTCGTCTCTTGGACCGCAGCTATTAATATACCATGCCGACACATAAAGGCGGTTATCTCCTCAATCTTGCTCTGTAGCCCGTTACAGTTGAATTGGAGGAGCTTCATGTGGTTCGGGAGACGTGTTGTGATGTGGGGTGTGAGTGAGGTGTAAGTTCTTGCCGCCGTTGGCTGTGTGTGCTGCTGGGGTGATTGCCTCCCTGTGGTGGTATTGGGGGGCGTCGCAATTGATGCCAGCGCCCGGGCAGCGCAACACGGGCCCTCGAAGTTCCCCGTCCAATCTCGCGTGGTGCGCAGACCTGAACATGCCCTAAAGTGGCACCAGCCAAGGCAGGTGTTGCACTTGACTGATGTCACATTACGGAATATTCTGGTCTGACATACCGTGCAGATTGTAGGGGGAACCAAGAGTTGTTGGCGGCGGCGTGTGGGTGGTGGTGCAGTTGTGTGTGTTATGTGGTCTGTGGTGGCTGTGGTATGTTGTTGTGTTGTGGCGACTGTGTGTGGTTGCTGTGTGAGTGTGTGGGGCTGCACGGGCGGACTATGGGTTGCCGTGGAGGCTGCTCTATTTGAGCAACAGGGGGCCACGTACGACGTGGTCCACTGTCTGTGAGTCCGTAGTCCCGAGCAGACCCTGAGGTGACTCCACCCCTCGCAGGCATTACACTTGACTGAGGTGGAGTTGTGGTGTAAACGTCTTCGGCATACACAGCAGGTGTATATTTCTGGCCCAGGGTTTGACTCGATGCCAGCCCTGAGTAGGAGAATGCGTAGTGAATGCTGCCCTATGGACGGACAACTTCTGAGATACTTCGCCGACCTAAACGGGGTTAGATCGCCGAAACAACAGCCCTTGGTCGGGTGAAACCCGAGTCATTCCGGTACGTAGAACCGGCTGTCGTGGGAACGAAATTTGTATTGTAGTTAGGATTGCATGTGGTGGAATTTGAACCCGCGGCCTCGGTGTTTTAAGTCGACACCTCAATCTCTACGTGTTGTTACACAATATGTTAGTGTTTGATCGAGATTCTCCTCCGATTTGTCGCTCGCGCCTTAATGTTGTGGCACAAAAGGGGTCCCTACAGTTTTAGGTCGACTCTGAACGGCGAATATGTTTTACTGGGAAGCTGTTTTTAATTTTCAAGCTTTGCGCACTTCTAACCATACACCACAGCGGCCTATATACGAGACCTATATTCAGATAAATTTTTTGGATTTTGGTATCGATATTTGGAATATCGAGTCTTTTTATTCCGATATTAATGGGTACCCGATATTTTTAAAGCGATACTTTAAATGAGTACCATATCGATACTTTCTGTTCGATATCGTG